GTCGCCAAATATGTCGTGGCCTGTGGTAAGGCAGAGATGAAACAAACCAAAGTTTGCAGGAACAATCGATAGACTTTACTTTATTCAAAACATGGCTTCACCAACCGACAGGTACAATGCGCATGTGTGAACTACAAGCGCGGGAAATATGCTAATAAGACCAATATACTACAGACAGTGGTGAATTTGGGACCCCTTTTGGCGGCACATATACATATAAGTACTTGTGAGTAACCCCCCCCCCCCAGGGCTGTTGGCAATGCACATTTCAATTAAAGAACAGAAGATATCATTAGAAAATGAACAATATGTATAGTATCAAAGCAATCAGACTTGCGTTTTTTAACAAGAAGTCGAAAATATCACTTTTTACCAAAACAAGCAGCCTCTCGACTGAGATAGCTCTGCTGTTAGCAATGCACATTTCAATTAAAGAACAGAAGATATTATTAGAAAATGAACAATATGCATAGTATCAATGCAATGGGACTTGCTGTTTTCAACAAGAATTCAAAAATATCATTTTTCACTATAAATGATTGTGGTTTTTAACAAGAAGAAAATATCACTTTTTACCAAAAATGACAAAAATATTCACTAAAATTAGAGAATTAAAGATATCATTACAAAATGAATAAATCTGAGAGAGGTCCACATGTAGTACCTATATATGTAATATCAAAGCAATTGGACTTGCGGTTTTTAACAAGAAGTCAAAATATCACTTTTTACCCAAAATGACAAAAATATTCACCAAAATTAGAGAATTAAAGATATCATTACAAAATGAATAAATCTGAGAGAGGTCCACATGTAGTACCTATATATGTAATATCAAAGCAATTGGACTTGCGGTTTTTAACAAGAAGTCGAAAATATCACTTTTTACCAAAAATATTCACCAAAATTAGAGAATTGAAGATATGATCATGAAATGAACAAATCTGAGATAGGTCTACCCAAGGTACATATACACCAAGTATCAAAGCATCCAGGCTTGTAGTTTTCAAGAAGAAGTCGAAAAAGTAAAACATTGACATGGACGACTGATGACGGACGACGACGGACAATCACTCATATGATAAGCTCCGCTCGACAAAGTCGACAGCGAAGCTAAAAAGACAAAAATATTCATTAAAATTAGAGAATTGAAGATATCATCACGAAATGTACAAATCTGAGAGAGGTCTATGGACCTATATATATACATGTATATATATATATAATATCAAAGCAATCAGACTTGCGGTTTTCAACAAGAAGTTGAAAATATCACTTTTTACCAAAAATGACAAAAATATTCACCACTGAAGCACAACATCTCCCCAAGGGTGGTTCACTGGTGCCTGGTGAGAAAGGCGGTGGGTGCGGGTAGTAATTGGAATGACTAATAACCAAAGGGGTTAGCTGGAGCAGCCCCTCTAGTTTATGGCATCACACCAATTGCTACCACTACTTTTCCAAGTTAGACAAGTGGGCGAGTCGGAATCTAAAAAGCGAAGCCACAGGCACTGGTAATCGCCCCAAGCCCAATCCCACTGTGTGAATTTAATGCCAACACTTAATACACACCAAACTGGGTAGACCTAAGATGTGTTATTCTACAGAAATGCCTACACACTGAGTGATCTCAAAGTGAACAGACATAACTTGAGCGATGGTGCCTCATCACAAATGAAAGAAGAGACATAGCTACAGGCCAGTGCACTAATGAAAGTGCTTGACAGATGACTAGAATTTATGGGAAGACAAATTCTCAGTGTTGGTCAGCAAAGAAAAAGGGAGAACTTAGTTACACATCTTGTTCCACTCGTGTGTGTTGCTGGGAAACTAAGAGTCGTACCATTAAACATTTCCGGTGAGGGCTAGAATCACGTAAATTTAACCCATATTTGTCTATGTTATCCAACTACTGACAATCTGAGATCTAGTAGTGTCAAATCTTCAATTTTAAATTTTTCCAAAGCATCACACGTACAGACTGGAGGTAAAATGTTCTCTGATTGGCCGAGTAATTTACTCAATTTATTCATCACACACACTAAAGAAAACACGTTGTTTTGTTTTGTCAAAATGTAGTAGTTTATTTGTGTAACCATTCCCAACCATCATTAGATTCACCTAACTGAAGACAACCTATCCTAAATCAAACTACAATGCAAATTATTGAGAGTAATGTGGTCATCTTTCTTGCTTTTTGTAATAACAAAATATGAAAGTAATGACATTAAACTACTAATGGTCATGGCAGGTGACATTTGTAGGATCAGCCTCGCAAAATTTAACTAAGGTATAAAAGTATGCAAAAAAAAAAAATAAACAAAAAAAAGTCTTGTATGAAAAATGTTCAATGATTGCTTCACATAGTGTTGCTGTAATAAAATAACTAAAAGTATCAAAAACTACCATCAGCAGACAGTATGAACGAAAACATATTTATTGAGTTTTAATAATTTTTTTGGTATTTTTATTTACATTTTTTTATGTTGAATGGAACTAGGGCTAACTATGAAAAAAGGATACATTGCAAGATTATTGAGAAATTTTTGAGTATTCTTGATCCAAAAATGAAAAAAAAAATAAAAAAATTAACAAAAGTGTTTTAAAACAGTTACTAGAAAAAAAATGTCCTTTTTCACTAGAAATAAAGGTGTGATGGTTTCCTCTATCATTACACTATATTAGAGTGGCTTTAAAAAGCATGCAAACTATTTCAAAATATTCGCAATAATTATGATAGACGTAACTCCTTATATTCTTTCTCTCTTGTGAAAATACACACTCGTCCATTCCTAATTTCAGATCAAGTCACACATTTATTTTTGGAATTTTTTTTCCTGGCAAGACAAATTATGCAAAATTCAGAACTGTACCTCCTAAAGCCTTTGAACTCAATACTGTGACACTATCTGCTTGGTGCATGAAAAATTATCATTGATACATTTTACACCATCACTGACTGGCCATTCAAAAGTCACTTTACATAATATTACTCATTACGGAGTTCAAAGACCATTTTTTAAAAGCAGTTAAAAGATTTTCCTAATGCAGTTCATTCCATTAATATTATAATTCTATAATATTACATTTTTTTTTAAAAATTTTAATCAAAAACTTGATTTCTTTTGCTAAATATATAATAAAATTTGCAATACTATTACTTGAATACATTTCAGTCAGTGGGTTGTTGTTTTTAACAAAGATTTATAATGTTTCATAAAAAATACTGGAAGACACTATTAACTCATACTTTTTTTGTTAGATGTGCATAGGTATGGTCACTGGCATCCTATCTCTTTCCAGTGAATTCATTGAATACTAGTTAACCAGCATCATTTAAGTATCTTTGTTAGATTATATATCAGACATATTACTTATACATTTGTATAACGCTACAATTCTTTAGAAACACATGCAAGGAAGATGAATTATTTGTTCTTTAATTGTCTTTTTAAATTTTTAATAGCAATTAATGATAAAAGGCACAGTAATGTAGAAAAAAAAATTAAGAAATGTGATTTTTTGATTGACTTATTACACGTGTTTGTTTGTTCTGTGTAGCATTATTTATGTACACACTATGTTGAAAGGACTTCCTGGGATGTGTTCCTCTCCCCACTTCACAAGCATAATGTAATTGCCTTTTTCTTTGAGTATGTAATTGATGACATATCGGTTTTTTCCATTATGTTTGACAATAATTTCCTCACAAGGAGTTTTAGGTCCAGCAATACCGACAGTCAACATATTCTGACCTGTGAAATAAACAAAAATAAGAGACTTTGTTAAATGATGTATATTTTTAGAGCAAATATATCAATGAGGTTTTCTAGTGCAAGTACGCACATCATCTTCTACTCAGTACTCATCTACTCACTACTATACAATGGCAGGTTTTGTTCTGCCAGTGTATATCCATTTTTTATGTCCGATGACATTTGCTGTATAAATTCTAATTGGCTACATTGTTTACAGGCAGGTCAAGTCAGATTTGTCTATTTCACTGTAGTAAAATATGCAACTTCTCAGTAGATCACGCACAGTTTGTGGGAGACTATGTTTACATTGAATTCAAAACCATGGGTTTGTTATGTCATTTATGCAGTTAGAATGAAAGCTAAATCTCTAGTTAACCTACCTGCATCAGAAGCATTAACAGTGAACTGTGCCTTTTTGTTGATAAAACCCTTCTTCAAGCCCATACCAGTGGATACAATCTTACTAGCATCTGATGTAAACTTCGGCATAGACCCATAGTTGGTAGTGGTGGTAGTCTTAGTAACTGTCTCCACAACAACCTGTGAACTCTCATGAATACCTGTCACACCGGCTTTATTGACACCTATGAGAGAAAGGAATTCAAGATTGTTTACAGAAGACACAATGACCTTTTTAAGACTGCAATATATTTTAATTTAATTTTGTAATCATTTTTTACCTTACTAAACCCACAGATGTTTAAGTTGCATAATAAAGTTATTAATATTATTAATATGTTAGTGGCCATCCAGATTTGTCCAAAATAAGGCTGGCATATTCCCTGTTTTTTTCTTTGTTTCAAATGACAAATAATCTATCATGTGTAACATTTTGAACTGACGAGTGTTCTACCAGAAACAGATCTATTTTTTGGGGGGCTTAAGACTGCTTCCCAAATTGATGAAACCCAGTGTACTTTGTTACCTAGATACAACATCCATCATTGAAAGAGTAATTGAGTATAAGAGTAATAAATAAATAATAAACCACACAATTATATTTAAAACAGTGCAACGCAGCAAGCAGAAGTGAAGAGTTTGGTGACCTACCAGTGACTTTAACTTTGAAAGGACTGCCTACAATGTGATGAGCTCCGGCATATTTGATGGTAACAAAGTAATCACCAGGAGCCATAGGTGTATAAGAACATTTATAACCTTCAGGTACTTCCTCCACATCCATAGTAACTTTAGATGGTCCATCTATAGTTATAGCCAGGGCACCGGCACCAGCACCACAGGTATTCACTATAAACCAGGTCTTGTCACCTAGGGAAAGCACTGTATATCAGAAGCGATGCATGGACAGACCAAAAGGAGTTGGCCATTGTCAAATTAAAATGCAGCATGCATAACTGTATGGTGAGGGTGGAGGCTACAAGATTGGGTTTTATATTTGACTACATAGCACTCGCAGCTTCTACCTTAATACCTTTGGAACACTGGAGAAACTTAATTCTACTAGTTGTGTTTACGTAAATGACAGATAAGCGTGGTGGTCATTGCGTTGCGCATGTGCGACATTTGTGTTGATAAACATTGATTTTCCCACAATCAAATGCGGTAGGAGGTTTGACCTGGGCACGACTTGCACTGACTACCGCCGGTGACTCCTTCGATACCTTCCAATCACCTGAAAATTACCTAATTAAAGCTTGGAAACGTCTCGCCAATCAGTCAAAGTCACCATCTTTGTTTATATGAGACCCATATATCTTGCACATGTGTGGTTCGACGACTACCGCCCTTAATGTTTTGGATTTTGTGGAGAAATTATGCTGGATTATTTTGTGGTATCTGAGAAAGCACACCATCCATAACACATTTGTTTTCTCTGTTCTTATTTGTGGAGGCTTTCAGGCGGTGATATATTGAAAGTGGGAGGTAGATTTTTAACAAAAATTTAGACCATAAACTAGGAAATTATAAACATGAAGTGTATCCACACTACTTGGTATAGTATGCAAATCAGAGGATGAAATAATAATAATAATCTATCAATTTAAATAGATTAATTCAATTCCAATAAAGATTTAATAATCTCTAACCCAGTGCATTTGTTCTAAAAATGCCAATATGGCCATATAATAAATGATAGTGTCATACTTGCATAATACTGAATATAAAAGAACTTCTATCTAGGTTTAGATGCTACCAGTATGACATCATGGCTCAATCCAGCTTTAAAGCTATATAGTTACATAAACTCCTCTTACCCAAGGACAACCACTTCATCAAATGATGTAGGTGTTCACAACATAGCTGACACCAATTAGAAGTTAGAAAAAATCATGAAATTTTGGATTTTTAAGACAGCTAGTCACAGCGACTTTTGTAGTTGTGAATATATGAGTGAAATTGAATGCCATCAAATTTATTAAATCATGAAAATTTATAGCAACTAAAATAAAACAGTCAACAGTGCTTATTGAAATCATAACTAAAATTTGATACACATGAGGGTCATTTACATAATTATATTTTATTATTATTTGTCATTATAAATTCAATTCATTTACAAAAGCTCACTGATAAAGAAATTAATTACATTAATGAATGTTAATCAATATAATCATGAATCATATTTTTCCATTAATTTAATTACATATAGAAAATATCACCATGATGATCTAACTGATTATTGTAAAGAAAAAAAATACTACATGTACATAAAATAACGTTTTTGTCATCACTAAAATTAATGTACTGTAATACACTGCGATGTGAAGATCTGGTTTAGTATATTCTGTACACCAAATCTGAAAAAGAAAAATGAAATGACAGTGAATAAAAAGTAAACAATTTAAACTTTTCTTTTGAAATTTAATGAATTAAATTTATATTTATATACACCTTATTGGAAAAGTTATAGTATAAAGCCAGTGCCCATATAATAAATCACAAAATTATTCGCCATTTGCAAGGATGGGATTAACATAATTGCCAAAGAAATAAAATAACGTGGGGAGAATATTTCTACAAACTGGTGTCTACTATCAGGATATCAAGAACAATTAAAATTAAAAATGCCATTATAACTAAAGAAAAGATCTTGTTCTTACCTTTGGTGTATATCACCACGGCTGAAAAACTATCATCGATTGTGCCTTGGTTGGTCAGGATTCTATGAGCGTGTCCACCACCCGAGTGCATCATTTGGTCAGGATTCTATGAGCGTGTCCACCACCCGAGTGCATCATTATAGCATGTGGGTAAAATATTTGTGTCTCGGTGAAAGGCAAGGTAGCAAAGACTATATATACAAATATACAAAAGACTTACCAGTACGGGCTCCCTCTAGACCAGGTCCATGAGCATGCACCATGCCAGGATCACCATCAACACCACCGACACGGACTCTGAATGGACTGCCAGGAATATGAGCAGTTTTGAATAATACATGTATCATATGAACACCATTCTCTTTTGGTAAAAACCTCACAGCATAGTGTCCTGTCAAATAGAAATTGATGGGTTTTTTAACATTTGAAGGAGATTAGTATTGGAACACATCTGCATTAAGTGCAAAATTGTTTTATTTGCATTAATTAATATTAAATAGCAATGACAAAAAAATCATCATATCAGTAAAACTACATTAAATGCATTACAATATTCAACATGATTCTATCATTATGTGCTGAAAAAAGAATCAAAAGAATGATATAAAAAGTATTGTTTGAGACATGTCCAGCAAATTGTTGAAAGTACCCCTAGGTTTTCTTTCTAACAAGATCATTCTGTAAAGAAATTGCTGAAATGATTTCATCTAAAAGTAAAAGTTACATTGAAGCTTTGACAACACCCTACTGACTTTGAAATAGCCATTGAGATAGGAAGAGCCTTGTTGTGCCAACCTCCGCAAGCACCTATAGTTACCTTCGTCAACTTCTGTGATGAGACACTCATCCTCAGCACCTGATGGTGCCACCACTTTAGCACTTATAAATCCTTTAGCACCATTCAATTGAACAGCAAATGAAGCTGGTTGATTTGGTTTGAGTCCAGTCTCTTGTAAACTAGTTACACTCAGTCGGCGAGCATCACCAATAGATGGAGTAACAAACACTTTGAAGGAACTGTCTGGGATGTGTTCATCATTGTACTTAACAGAAACCGTATACTCGCCTACAAGAGACAATTCATATATCAAAGATGAACAACACTGAATGAACAATTTTAATAAAATGAAGTGTATTTTGAACAATTTGAAAACAAGAGTTAGCTAATTTTGTGAAGAATGTAAAACTTAGATTTTAAAAATAATTCAAAACAAACAAAAGTCAGTCACAATATATAATTTTCTACTCTAAGTCAGTACACACTAGTTTATTGCTGGAACCAATAATAAATTGGTTGTAAAATTTAATTTAACTTAGTATGATGACCCAAATTTGCCCTAAGCCCACTAAATTTATATCGTCACAAAATAACCTTAATTAAACAATTTTAAGTTATTAAATTTAAAATTTAAAATAAAGTTTCTTACCAGGTTCAGTTGGTAAATAACTAACTTGACAAGAGCCGTCTTTCTTATCTTCAAAGTCAATCTCGGCTTTAGCAGGTCCTTCTACAGAGATGGCTAAACTGCCGGGACCAGCTTCTCTTGTCCATACTGTAAACTCTGCCTTCTGTCCAACTTCTCCTCTTTCAAGACCTGGACCACCGGCCCGTACTCTGTGGGCACCTCCATCACCAAGTGGGCCTACTGTGAACTGGAACGGACTTCCTGTGAAAGGAACAAGTCAAGAGCGTTCAGTTCCTCATGTTATAGGTCTTGCAGTAAGTAATTTAGATTACAATGCATAGAAGGCAGTATACTGACCTGCCACATGTGCTCCTCTGTTTTTCACACTGACTGTGTGGACTCCCATCATAGTAGGAACAAACTTGACTATGTACGTGCATCCGCTACCATCAATTATCTCAGCATCTTCTGTTTTATTCAATGGGTTTGTCACTTGTGCTGTCATGTCAAGGGGATCAGTACCTGCAGAACAGACCAATAAAATGATTAAGTCACACTAAAGTAAATTGGAAAATGATGTGATTCTAACATATTTGGGTGATTTGTAAATTTATTGTCAATAGCATAATAGTTTTTCAAACAATTTTGATAAAGATCTAGTCAAATGGGTAAATTATATCAATTTCACTCAACATTAATAATAATTTCATATAAAAATGTTGCACCAACTTTTTGTTGTCAAAAATCAAAAAAAGCAAACATCAATAGCAATACTATGACATTGGTTTGCTGAAATTACAGTGAACAACTAACCAACAGTTAAACAGACTAACCTGGTATTTTCAACCCCAATTCACATTCACTACCAACGTGAGAGACGGCTGCAGCTTGCCTCTTGCGAGTAATGGTCTCCACAAATTTACCTGAACCTTCACCATGAACCTTGACCTTAAATGGACTTCCTACAATCACAGAAAGAGAGATACATTATTCAGTGTGCATCTTTTTTTTTTTTAGAAAGAACATGATGAAACAGTATTATTTTGGCATTAAATACTGATATAGTTTTCACCAAAATAAATACAAACCAACCAGCATGCAGAAACTGGAATTATCCCACATTGATATATTGGGTCATTACAAACTTCAATATATTCACCAAAATACTTTGAAATACACTGACCTGGCACATGTTCATCTGCATATTTAACATTCAGAATGTAATTTCCTGGTTCTGTTGGACGATAAGTAACAGTACATGTACCATCGCCATTGTCTTCGCAGTTGATATCAGCTTTGCTAGGTCCTTCTATAGATACACCTAAACCTCCATAGCCTGAGTTACAAATAGAGCAATAGACAATTTAATTCCAGTTATTGTATCAGTTTGGTTAATGAGTTATATTGGTGTGGCTACCAGTACTTACATCAGCACCAACATTAGTATACTGGCTATCAATACTGGCATCAGTATTGGCATCACCTTTGCTATGGCCACCAACACTGGCATCAGCATTACTATGGCCACCAACACTGGCATCAGCATTACTATGGCCACCAACACTGGCATCAGCATTACTATGGCCACCAACACTGGCATCAGCATTACTATGGCCACAAACACTGGCATCAGCATTACTATGGCCACCAACACTGGCATTAACATTACTATGGCCACCAACACTGGCATCAGCATTACTATGGCCACAAACACTGGCATCAGCATTACTATGGCCACAAACACTGGCATTAACATTTCCATGATCACCAACACTGGCATTAACATTACTATGGCCACCAGCACTGGCATTAACATTGCTATGGCCACCAGCACTGGCATTAACATTGCTATGATCACCAACACTGGCATTAATATTGCTATGGCCACCAACACTGGCATCAGCATTACTATGGCCACAAACACTGGCATTAACATTTCCATGATCACCAACACTGGCATCAGCATTACTATGGCCACCAACACTGGCATCAGCATTACTATGGCCACCAACACTGGCATCAGCATTACTATGGCCACAAACACTGGCATTAACATTACTATGGCCACCAACACTGGCATCAACATTGCTATGGTCACCAACACTGGCATCAGCATTACTATGGCCACAAACACTGGCATTAATATCACTATGGCCACCAACACTGGCATTAACATTGCTATGGCTACCAACACAGGCGTTACATTGCTATGGCCACCAACACTGGCATTGACATTTCTCTGATCACCAACACTGGCATTAACATTACTATGGCCACCAACACTGGCATTAATATCACTATGGCCACCAACACTGGCATTAACATTTCTCTGATCACCAACACTGGCATTAACATTGCTATGGCTACCAACACTGGCGTTACATTGCTATGGCTACCAACACTGGCATTACATTGCTATGGCTACCAACACTGGCGTTACATTGCTATGGCTACCAACACTGGCGTTACATTGCTATGGCTACCAACACTGGCGTTACATTGCTATGGCCACCAACACTGGCATTAATATCACTATGGCCACCAATACTGGCATTAACATTTCTCTGATCACCAACACTGGCATTAACATTTCTCTGATCACCAACACTGGCATTAATATCACTATGGCCACCAACACTGGCATTAATATCACTATGGCCACCAACACTGGCATTAACATTTCTATGATCACCAACACTGGCATTAACATTGCTATGGCTACCAACACTGGCATTAACATTGCTATGGCTACCAACACTGGCGTTACATTGCTATGGCCACCAACACTGGCATTAATATCACCATGGCCACAAACACTGGCATTAACATTGCTATGGCCATCAACATTGACGTGACCATTAACAGACATCAAAATTCTTATGACCATCAAAATTAGTACAAACAAAAAACATAATAAAGAAAGGATAGCCATCATGCCGTTTAATAAATAATTGTAACAAAACTGATCCTGCTAATTTTGTAATAAAATAAGTGTGCACATATAAACAAGACTATGTATTGGAAAAAGCATATTAAATGGTTATTCATTTTTCTATTAAAGCTATAAATGCAAGTATGTATTAGCAGTGTTACCTTAATATAATGGGATCCATTACAGCAAACCCAACTATTGCCCATCTATTAGTCAGTTAACAGTAAGCCCACAATTAATGGTTAACTCACCAGCATTTTTAGTATCTACCAAAAATTCTGCAATTTCTCCAGCATCTGCCTCAGCAATACCCAATCCTTTAACCTTTACTTTACTAGCATCTCCTATCTCTTGAGCTAAAACTTTGATTTTGAATGGACTATTAGTAACATGGCGACCATGTTTCTTTACGCTGACAAGGTGTTCACCGGTTTCTTTGGGAGTGAAAGATATGCCTAAGAAAAGAATGGGAGAAAGAAAGAATTGAGAAGAGATTTTAGTTAATTAATAGATTTTAATTAATTGATTAAAACGGAAAACTTTGTTAATAGGCTAATAAATTAATATGCTCTCTAAATTGTGTGTACTTCCAATTGGATATCAATATATACACACAAGTATCTTTGTATATGAAAATAAACATCTATGAAAAGCACCACAGTCATCAGTTGAATTTTATGTACAATCTATTTTACATGTGTGTACATTACATACACCGAGACAACAAGACACTGTTGTGCAATTGACACAGGAATATTGAACCCAGATTGTGATGAGATCTGCATATATGAATCTAATTTAAGCAACTAAAACAAATTACATCATATTTAATCATTGCACTCATTTGTTTGCACAATTTGCCAGTATTTATTTGATAAATTCTGTATTGGTGGCTTAAACAAGAATTGTCCAAACTAGTATCTAACTATACAATGTATGTTTATTTCCTCATGTCAATGCATGTCCCTTTAACCCATAAATATCATGGACAATGACACAGAAATTCAATTTTAAAATACATTTATTTACACTCTTCTAAATTAGCTAATAGCCGCTGTGTCAACAATATATAAAACTTGTACATATAATAACTATCTTGATGGCTTAAAATGGCATGTCTATCCACTGGCCAACATCGTTATAGTAACTCACCAATATTGCCATTTGGTAATCTCTTCAACTGACACGGTTCCTCTTTTGGAGATGATGGACTCTTGATAGATGCAGTTAACAAACTAAGATCAGTCTCTGTGATTTTGAGAGCTACTTCACTAGATCTACCTACAGCTACTGGCCTTCCAGTCTCATCTGCAAATAAACAGACATAATAAGAGTGAAATCTGTCCAGCAAAGGATTATTATGTCTAGCAATGGAAAAATTTATGGAAATCAATTATGCTGCATTCTCACTAATGTAGTCCTTAAATAAGGTCAACCTTTTAAACAAAATAAACATGAATATTTCAATATTTTTTCCAAGATATTGATAAGTAGAAAATTGTATCCATTTGGTCCAAAGATAACAAACACATAATGGAAAATTGAAGAAAAATGTGTAAATGATACACTAAAATTTTGGTTAAATATGTGAATTTTATCATGATATATCTGATACATGTTGAGATGAATAATTATGTAATATACACTTTATGTTCCGCTGCATCAGTTTATAACCTGCTCATTGCATTCATTTTGTAGAATAACATGAATAACATGGAAAATCAAATACCCTGCTGCTGATTGGTTGGCATTTCATAGACTAATCAGACATATTTTTATCACTTTACGATTTGCACTAATTTGTGAAATGCAGAAAATCAAGACAATAAAGCTCAATAATGAGTGAGATTGATCATTACCTGTTATTTTTGCAGTAAATGGACTACCAGGTACATGTTTATCAGCAAATTTCACTATTACTGAATAATCACCGGGTTTTGTTGGATAGTACGAAACACTGCAAGTGCCATCTTTGTTGTCTATACATTTGATTTCAGCCTTTGATGGACCTTCCACAGCGAGAGCCAAGCCACCTAATGATGCAAATAGTAACAGATATATTTTAATGAAAGTGATGGAAGTATGGGTACAGTATGATGATGGACCTCATATGCAATGTACTATAAAAAAAACAAAAAAAAAACAAGACTCGCCCAAAGCAATGTGAACAAGTCATTGAAAATGACACAGTCCCCGTTAAGTTCTCTTTGTGCTCGTCATATTAAAGCGGAGGGGTTGTCGCAAGCGTGTCCTTGAAACTTGAGTTCCAAGTGGCGTATACAACAGATTGTTTATTTACATCAAAACACGTGTTTCGTGTCATAGTACTAGTAATATGGCCAAAATAAAAACAGCCGTTATTCAGCCATCTTTGATCTGAATTATGAAACACACTGATATGTATGATGTATGTGCCAAATATGAATGAAAATGGTACATAAATTGTGGAAATATAGTAGTAAGGCCAAAAAGTCAGATGGCTGTCAATCGGCCATCCTTGACCAGATTTTGAAACAAATTGTCATGGATATGCATCCTAACATGTATAAAGTACATGTATGTGCCAAATTTGAATGAAAACTGACAGAGCACGTCCAAGATACTGCATAAAAAAACAAAAACAAGATGCCTGCCAGTCGACCATCTTTGATCCATCATGGACATGTATCCTAACATGTATAATCTATGTACCAAGTTTGAATGAAAACTGACAAAGCATGTCCAAAATACGACATTTTCAAAAAACAAGATGGCTGCCAGTCGGCCATCTTTGATCCAATTGTGAAATAAATCATCACGGACATGTATCCTAACATGTATAATCTATGTACCAAGTTTGAATGAAAACTGACAAAGCATGTCCAAAATACAACATTTTCAAAAAACAAGATGGCTGCCAGTCGGCCATTTTGAATCGAATCGCTAAACCACTGCATGTGCATATGTCCCACATAAAGTACTAGGCACATGCAAAGAATGAACGGAATCGGTCCAAGGGACTCTGAGATATGACTCCGGACGGACGCACGGACACACGGACGGACGGAGACCGAATTACAAGTCCCCGTTTTCGGACTTTGTCCGAACGGGGACTAATAATAGTAATGCATCTCAACCTACCTGCACCAGCATCCTTTGTATTGATGGTAAAGTTACATGGTTCTGAACAAATGCCATGGGTAAGACCAGGACCATATGCTGAAACATGGCCACTTTTTAATTCGTCAACATGGAACTGGAATGGGCTACCTGTGTTCACACAAATAAAATATTATTATTACTTGTACGAGGATGGACAAGAGCAATACATATATAGGCTAAAACAGCTCTGGCCTGTTTACAGAGTCGCGGTATATCAACACGAAAGGTGACTTGACCATATAAATATATTAATAGATGTATACATACACTGCATACAACTATTGATATTCAGTAGTGGGTCACATACTCATATTCTTACCTGCAACATGTTTATTATTATAATTGATTGATAGCTCATGTAGACCTCGTTCCGTTGGTGAATACTTCACAGTAATTGTACCGTCTTTATTTTCTGTAATATTAGGTTTATGATGCTTTCCTGATGGAGTTCTTACATCACCTATCAAACAAACATACAAACAGAATTAATCATTATAGTTGTAGATGGAATGCAGAACTGAACCATTCTACAGACATGGCCAAGGTAGAAAGAATGCTGTCATTTTTCTATCCAAAATGTTGGTGCAACTTTGTACACAATTTTATGTATTGGTATTTTCTTGTTAATTTTAAACCAAATGGACATCATTTTCCATGAACATTTTTGAAAAATATATGTCAAAACCTTTGCTTCTGATATTTAAATTTTAAATAGTGTTTTTTTTTTCATTCACACAGCTTCATGTTAAAACATTTGCATATACTGGGGTGTGCCTTCAGTGTATCTGGTTAAGCTTGGTATTAGGCTGGCCGATTAATCAAATCGGTAGACAGACAGACCGACAGACAAACATAACTACACAAGAGACACTACAGACAAATGAACCCACTACATTCTTTTAAGTGAGGTCATAAACCAGATGAATGTCTTGATGAGAACTGGCACAGTTTTAGATTAATAAGACCATATGGTATGCAGCATAGATGATCAACTTAGCAGACTTTATCTGTTAATGTACTTTAGTGGTGTACCTTGTGATGAAAGGTCTTGGATGAGGTTATTTTCAAATTGGCGCCTATTAAATAAATCAACTATGGACACACAATATCTCAGTCACAATTACCATGGATGAGATTAAAGAAACACATTTTTGATGTCTACAACAACCATGACATAAAACTTAAGCAAAATGTTCACAGGTAATTGAGTGTTTTCTGATGCAGATAATCTGCATTAAAGGTCTTTCAAGTCAACCCGGTTTAGGCTCAAAACCTTTATTATAACTTGACTTGCTCATTCCACAAAAATCAACTATTTTCTCATAATGGAGCTAGCTGAGTTTTTTTGAGAGCATGCATCCACAAGGGATTAACTGTCCACAGTTTGACTGTCCTGCGAACAGCGTAATCTAATTGGCATTGATGAGTGAATAGTTAGCTAGAGCAATGATCCCAATAACCTTTGATGTGAGGCAAACCAGTGTAGTACGCTAAAGTTGACAATATTTTAACCGAGTCAAAACAAGGATATCCTTATTACATAATATGAATACCAGAAAGACCTCGCTGTTAACCCAAAATCATGTACTTTGAAAATCATTTTAGTAAGTTGGGTTGCATTTCTTTTTCTCAAGTTAACATTCAGATTAGCAACACTGACCCTCTCCCCACTGTTGAAATTGTCAATAGATTACAGAAGTATACAGTGCTGTCAACACATACTGTAAACTTTTTTTTTAGTTGAAAAAAGGCAGTGGAAGCAAAAACTAGTCTCTGTGTGAATGGTTTCAAGTATTGAACAAATTGCAAGAAAATAGTAAATCTAAATATGAAAAAATATCTAATTTGTTCTGTTTTGAGTGACATTTGAGACTTGAGGTCTGACACATGTTATTCATTATCTTCTAAATATAAGGTAATTGTAATTGTTACTGTCCTCTCAAACACAACATTAAACACATCTAGATTTGATTGATAAGTGAACACTTGAAAGTGAAATATCTACCAGAAACTTTTATTTTTTTCTTTAGTTTAAATTCACTAACGGGATATTTGTTTTTTCAAGGATTGACTCCAATATTGTATTAAATTCCCCAGTATAAAATACCATGTTTCCCACAATGCATTGCAGATTTCATGCAGGGTAAATTTGCTGTGATGCAAGATACACTGGTATTTAATGCCATGCTGTGAGGACATCTTTTTATGACTAATTTGTGGGTCCCATACTGAAACAATATGTCAGTTTATTTTTGTTTTGATTAAATGGGTTCAAAAGGAGCAATAAAGAATGGGTAACTGAACTCTCGATAATAGGTAGAGGTAAGACAGCAAACTTACCAGTAATCTTTCCTGTGCCAGCACCAGTAACTGGTATTACCAAGTCAAATGGTCTCATATCCTGCGGCATGCCGTCTATATCTGTATGAGGGGCCCCCTCTTCAGCCTTTAATAAAAACAACAAAAATTGTTTTTTAGGTGCAATTCTTGAAATTTTAAAAAAGGTTTGTAGGTTAATATATGAGGAGTAGAATAATATACCATACCAGTATAGGTGCATGCACCAAGAACATATTGTCACAGTGAAAACAAATGAAAAAGAAACTGAGCAGACACACAGACTTATATCCATAACAAACTTTTTGAAGCAAAAATTATTACATATCACAAGCTCTCCTATTTTGTGGTATTGATACTATTACGTGGAATATTTGATGTTCTGAATTAGCAGTAACATTAATTTGTAACAGAAATGAATCTTTAAGAATTAGCAATGCTAAAATCAGAATTCAGACATGCTGAAAATCATTGAAATTATTTTATAGTAACACAATTGTCCTAAGACCCCAATAAAGATCTATGAATGCTCTGAGAGTGCATACTCAGACCATGAAATATTTCAATGACCCACAGAACCACATTGGATAAATTCCATGTGAGATAGTGAGCACGACTTAAGCATAGAATTGACTCCAAACGCAGATGGTTATCAGTTGGTTATGAATGAATAATGGAAATTTGATGCAATATTCTCAAATAACACTAAATATAAATAAATGAGAAAATCACAAGTTTATATTATAACTTTTTCCAGTTTTGATTCAACTAGATTTATGCAATTCAACAATATTAATAACAAATTACTCATTCAATTTTGGGTTATTGATCATTTTCAAGCCTAGTCACACCTATTAACGTCCAGAAAAAAATCAAAATTTTAGTTGAATAAGTTCAATTGCTAGTTTTTATATTCTAAAATTCTGACCAACAGTTTGGCTGGCCTACATGCAAGGTGGATGACTGAACACGCTAGGAGTCTAATGTACCTGGCTTTGACAGACAGTATGGTCTAGTGTCAAGTATGATTGATTCATAATTGATCGTTAAATATTGATATACCATAGGAAAACACACATGACACATATTTTTACCATGGCAAGGTAAACTGTGGCAAGTAATCTACAAAATCAGCACATCCGGTACACACTCTAGATACTGGTCAATATATTACCAATAAACAAACACACAGAGGAGCTAATTCAAGTTGTCTGATACAGTGTATACATAAAACAGTATGATACACACTAAAGATTTAATCTAACTGTGGCCTATATTTTAATTTTTTTTTCTTTATTTATTCATATTTTAATTTACAGAGATGGGATTAGGTCATCCGAATAGAGATTTATTCATATGTTGCTTAAAAATAAAATTATACATTTACATACATTTGTTTCTGAGAGAATAAAAATAATAACTCCCGATTTAAGTTTTTATAAAAAATCTAGTCATGCATGGGTGAATGATCCAAATGACACAAGAATGATAAGGACAAAGTTTGTTCAAAAATTTGACTTAAATTTCTTTCAAATTCCATGACCCATATACCGGTACTGTGTACATTGAATACATTCTGCAGAGTGACGGCTGCCTTCCTATTAAACCACTGATGCCATGCCATGCGAGGGATGACTGCCTTTGTCAATGGCATTAGAGGAATGCTGTGATTTGAACAGCCAGTATAAATAAAGATAATGAAACATGTTTATTTTGTAGCCAAGGAATTCTACATCTACCACGTGACCTTTCTGTCCCAGGGTCACTGGTTTACGTGAGGGATAAAAAAAAGCACATACGGGATCTGGGATCAGATCCATTCTTACATGTACAGTTGAAAAAACATGGGTGCGGCAAATATATTGCTTCATAAACTCATGTGATAAATATTCCACATTTCTTGTTCCAATGATCCAGATAGCACTGAGTGAAACAACAGACTAGATGCGTTCAAATAAATCAATATTTTTTTAAATGCATTATAGATATCCTATTTCTTCTTATTAATTTTAATAAAGTTGTATAAACTCAGTTCAGATGACAGAGCTATTGGGGGCTGACCATCCCCCCCTTAGTTTTTAGTTCTTCAGGTTGACTTTGTGGTACTTTTATATTTTATTTGCTAAATGTGTGTTTGTTACATAAATGTACACCCCCCCAATCTACCAAATGTACTCCTTTGTAAGAATTACAAACTTAGAAAGCCATCCATGAACATCTATAGTGCAGCAAGAATAATTAACATATTTGTTTTCATACTACCAGAAACTTGCATGCCAATGATTGGAAGCAGGATACAATTACAATAGTGTTAACTATAGACATAATTAATTTAAACATAAATAATAGTATGTTAGAGAGGCCATTTTCAGGACAGAAAATCCACATCCTTAAAATAACATGTTAGCATTTCAATATCTTTTTAGAACGAAATCTGATACTGGACATTGTGAGGTATCAGAGGATATGGCATATGTTTGTCGGAGAGAGGAAAGAAGAGGGTTAATCAGAGGACACTGACATCTCACAGCCAGACATAGTTAACTTGCTTACAATCAAAAGCAGACAAGCTTAGGTAGAAAGTAATTCTCTCTTATACCAATACTAAAACAAGAACCAAATAAAATTATAACCAGTGTTATAACATTGACATGGTGTGTGGTCACTGAACAAGCTGCAAACAAACAAGTCTTAGAGGAAACACCCAACTATAACTATATCCTGTTTTAAAGGGGAAAATCGCCTTGATTATTGTTATAAGAATTCTACAGACAATTTTGTTTTTGAAGACCTACATTCATGTTTAAATAATTGTGCTGCAGTCAACTAAATGTATTCATTCTGGAGACCAGAATGTAATTATGTAGATATTGCATTTATTATCTCATTTACTAAACAGGATATCTAATTGGCATATGAAAGTATCATATGACATAAATAGTACATTTTCTTTATTTATTAATAAAACACACAAGTCATGAGATGCTACGTTTCAATTATTCAAATTCATTCTGAAATGTCAAAAAATTAAATTTTATATATACAATATTATTATTAACCACAAAATGTATCACAAACGGCAAGTTTATATATACTGTGTCTGAATATTTGTATTTATTTTTCAAAACATCCTTTTGCATAAGATCTTGGTATTCTTACATGATTTTGATCAAATAATTTATAATAATTTCTTTGGAGACAAGGATATACAGAATAGGGTCTACTTTGAAAGTGTTAAGATCACATGATGAGTATTTAACTACAGTATTTGAAACTGTCAGGTATAGCCAAAGAAATACAACAAATGTATTGAAATTATATGTTTGAATATACAGGCCATTCAGCAAACAGCCACACATAGGTCTTTCTTCTTCCATCAATTGGCCAGCTATTTAAACAATTTAGTCAAATAGTGACAATGCACTGTTCTACTCAAGTTCTCTACTTCAACTACAACATTCCACCACTGATGGCATAACAATGATCAGGCAGTTTAGGAAAAGCTGTGTGCCTAAAAATTTGGTGGTGATACAGGCATCAAATGTGGGCCACTGTCCATAGACCATATTGCTATTCCAACTCACAGTAAATTATGGGATAGTTCTAAGCGAAGCAAACACAACTCCACCAATCACAAAGCATATCAGCTTGTACAACCTGACAAAAAAACCTCTTAAAAACAGTGCAGCATGCTTACTTCGGCTACAAACAAAAATCAGTTTATCACAGAACCACAGTATGATATAACCATAGAAACAGCACATCAGTAGTATTGGTATGTTAATTGAATAGTTATGCAATTGCGTCTCAAAGCATATAACATTGGATATTTACGTGTTGACCCATACACTGAACCAATATTTTACACCAGTCAGTCAGTCACCTTTCTTTCCCCAGTATATTGTACACAGATATGCTAGGAATGCACTCCCTAACTAGTACTCTAGGCCAATTGTAGGTTATTTTTGAACATGGATAATGTGTGTACGTAATAAATTACAACTGTGTCAATTATCATGATTATAGAGCTAATTATGAGTTTAAAAATACTAATTTTGTATCTATTTTCTTCCAGTTATATTGACAGTTTAGGGATTAAAAAGAATTAGTATTAGCAGACAATGAAGAATAAATTCTATGGTGTATTTTTAACATTTAGAAATTTCACTGATCAACCAAAATGCCAAGTGCTGTAGCACACTTCAATTTCATTTAGTATTTATTTTCCCTGAAAGTGTAAATCAGTGACATCTAAGAAAGATTTGTATGTAATTTATGACAAATCAGTGAATATCAAATGCACATGTCCAATTTGTTTTTTGCAATTGCATTACATAGTCCCTGCAAGTTCAATGTTCTATCCATACACAGCTGAAATCCAGTTCAAAAATGCTTGATTTTGATGAATTTTCAACAATAAAATAGATGCCATTTGGAATCAGTTTATTATATGAATGGAGGTACACAAGTATGCACAGATGTATAATGTGAAGGTTGAAGGTGACTGGTCTAGGCATGTACGAGATGTGGGCGCGCCACACACACACACACACACACACACACACACACACACACACACACACACACACACACACACACACACACACACAGTGGTCAAAAATTAAATCCTCATTTTTTAATATGTCAATAGTTTAGCTGTCATAAACAAGGTGGACTAAAAAAAATTGTGTTTAGTATTTGAACTACACTTGCTCTATGGGAACAGTTTCAGAGGTCTAATATGACAGAAGTGGGATTTACACTGAATAACACCGAAAGGAACAGATGGGGAAATGAACAAATAAAAATGTTTCAGATGTTTTATGGGTGGGTGGGTGTGTAGGCATGGCACGATTCTGGAAAAGCAGGCATTTTAATTGAAAAACATCACTTGCAGACAAAAACAAATAGGCTCTTCTCAAAAACCTGAAGATGCAATGAAACCTGTTTATACCAAACATGAAGTTAGAGATGAAACCTGATTGATTTTGTTCATGACACAGAGTTCCTTGTCAGTATCCCCAAATACAAACGACCATCTAACGGGATTCATGTTCTAGACACACAAGACACAACATACATGTACTTCAACTTGACATTGAACTGTAA